CTGCCAATAGTTTTGTTTTCTGCCTTAATATTTCATAATATAACCAAAAGATAAGTTTATTATGATTTTACTTATGATGCATGCATTCCTTTTTACATTCCACTAGGTAGAATTCAAATTTGGTGACATGTGGTGCTGTCCTTGTTGTATCTTATTGTCAATAGCATTGTTGTCTACGCTGTCTTGCTGTTAGGTTAGTTGAATATTTGATATTTGATTAAACTGGGGACAGATGGAAAGGCAATCACTTTATGCTGATCCCAATGTCAATATGTATATTGCTGCTCAGTTGCAGCAGATAGCCACACAGAGAATACAACAAACTGCTGGAATGAGTAATTTTTCAGGAAGGCCAGATTCTTTTCCTGTGGAGAAAGAGCATCCATTTGTGTCCTCCAAAGCAGAGGGGCAGAGACAGTGGAGTAGAGAGATGCACCAAGAGTTTCAAATTCGATATCACCTCACCTCTACACTGAAGGCTAGTATTGTTTCTGGGCTTTATACATTATATCCCTAGATCTATGATTTACTGTTACCATTGGAAGTGGTAAAGACTTTGCTTTGATGTTTCATGTGCCTTCCTGTACATTGTATATTTGCTATGTCTGTGTTTAAGACGTAGTTATAAATGATAGCCCTATAGAAATGAAGGGTTTTGGCTGTCTTATAAGGGATGGTGGGCAGTGAGGAAGAAGTTGGGAAATGAAGTACTTGAAGACCTAGGAGAAATAGAAAAATGAAAGTTGGAGAAAGATTCTAGCTAGGTGCCCCCAGTGATGTTTATTACTAGTTACTGCAACTGAGAATCATTAATTTTATATTCATTCTTTTCAATACCATGAAATCTTGGAAAGAAAAGTCGCTTGAAAAATATATATAGAGAGAAAAGTTACAGCCTGATATATAACCTAGCTTACAAGGTTATGCTAAGGTGAAGTATTTAAGAGGGGAAGTGACTTACTAGGTAATGAATAAGTGACAGACAATACAAATTGGTGATGTGAAAGTAGGCCACTATAGCAGCCAATTAAGGGGGTTACTACAAGGCTGATACTTCAATACTAAGAAAAATAAAATTATCATAATACTCCAAATAACAGCACTTTAAAAATATGTTTTTAAATCTAGTGGAATTACTTGCTAAGACATGCTACCTTGGTGCAACTGGTGCATTTATCCAAGATAGTCCGACATTTTTTTGAACAATCTATTAATGCCTATAAAGCAGGAGGACATGTACAGTTGCTGGTATGGGTACGTCAATACGGAAAAACTTAAAAAAAATAGGATACGGTTTTATATATTATTATTTTTAATTTGTATTAGTGCATGATATATAACAATTAGAAAATCAAATGCAAAAAGTACTTAAACAAGGTACAAACTAGAGTTTAATGCCAAAATTAGTTAAAGATCTAATGTACAAATCAAAGTTCAATGCCAAAACCAAAAGGCACTGGTATCTTATTACTACAACAATTTAAAGACCTCTATTAGAATTATTTTAGTACATCTTCTGAGGATGTTTAAGGTTAAAATAACTTGCAGTCATAACTTATTTATTTTTATTTTGGTGGGAAAAAAAATGGTTTAATATGACATGGGTCAGGTCAGTCAAACCCAATGGCTCCAAATTTTGTTTAAAACAATGAGCATACACATTTTTTTAAATGTTTTAGGTAGTGATGATGACAACGGGGTAGAGTAGGAGCGGATTTTCCTTTTTTTCTCCCCAATCCCTGAATATGTTATTCTACCTTGTCCCCACCTCCACCCTATTCCTTAATGAGGAATATTTTTAGCTTCCCATCCTGCCCCTAATGGGGATTTTTTTCCCCACCCCATGCCCCATCCCTATTTTGAATAAATTCATAAGCTTAGTAATTGGTGTGGTTATAAAAACCTATATGCACAAATTGAAGCCCATAGAATAACCTCAAAAATAATAGATGATGTTTATTGGATTCTAAATTTGCTTCTAATTACCAAGGCACTGATCAGTTGGTAAAACTTGCTGACCAATTCAAGGGAATAAATGACAAGGGAATGCCAATGCACCAGAGGCCTTTCATGAAAGGGAAGTTGTATATTCACTTTATCATGGATTTCCCAAACTCCCTTCCAATGGAGCAATGCAAGGCTCTTGAAGTTGTGTCGCCTCCAAGGTGTTCAATGCATATCAGTTAAACGGAGTCGGATGAATGCGAGGTGAGGAGACTACGATGCATGATGTTAACATTGAGGAAGCTGCATAAAAAGTGTCTTCCCCACCCCCGCACCCCAGACATGCCTACCACTTGTGTTACATGGACTCGGGTGCAAGTAATCGGTATGTCTCTTTTGGAACCTAATCTACACTGAAATATTTGGATATTGAGACATGTATTCAAAAGTTGGGTACAGGTACGTAGACACGTCCAGAATATTTAAATATAATGTATATTTTTTGATTTTTTGACATAAGATGCAAATTATTAAGAATATAATTAAAATTATTTGAGATTTAAGGGAAAAATGGGATTTCTATCTTTCTTGTGCTAGAAAGTTTTCTTCACTACCAAATGTGAGCTTCTTCTTCTTCTTCAAACATTGTAAAATTAGAGTATCCAAGAGTCTAATTTAAGTATTGTAAAATCAGATACATATCTCATTCTCTTACCCCCCCCCCCCCCCCCCCCCCAAAAAAAAAAACCAGCACAACTGTCACCCCCTTGTAGCCCCATACACCACCACAACCCCTAGATATGATCGATTGAACGACATCCATGGTTGGTGATGGAGGCTTCAGCTTTGCTGAGCGAGTTGTTACGAGGAGGGATAGACGGGGAGAGAGTCATTTTTGTAATATTAACAGCTATCACAAAGTGGGGACCCTTGACCCAACCCCTATTGGATTTTTAAATTTTAACTCCCACTCACTCTTTCTTCTTATTCTACCCTATTTATAGTTTTTAAGTCCATTTTCTGAGTGCATGAGAGAATACATTATTGTTTTCAAATAATTTTATGGTTGATAGAATTTGAACTCACATCATTGTCTATGATAGCAATGTCTTCCCAATTAGACTGTGTAATTATGTCCTTATATAACTCATCAGAACTATTGTATGTGCCAAAATTAATTTATTTTATTATTTTTATTTATACAATTGTCTAACTAACATTGGCCTATTTGGGAATTAGGTTAAAAGCCAGCTTTTTGGCTTATTTTGTGTTTAATTTTTTTATTCAATTTGATTCAATTAATGATTTGCAAATTAGGATTTCACTTGGCAATATAATTCTTGATTTGACAACTATGCTTGCAAGTGTAAATGAAGAGAGTGCACAAATTATTTCATGGCAATTGGTATGGATAATAATATCTTCTTTTTTGTGTGCGGTACTTTTGTATGAAGCAGGTCAAGGTGGCAATGCAACTCAATCACTTTACCAGGGACTGATGCCCGATCCAAATGTGAAAACCCACAAGGAACCTAGATTACAGACCCACAAGCAAGACATGGAAATTGGGTACGAGGACAAACCTTCAATATTGACTTTTGAAAGTCTTGAGCTGAAGTTCCTAGATGAAATTACAAAACTAGCCAAGGAAAAGGGTGATGCAGAAAATGCTAGGCACGTTGAGGTTAGTTTGGTTTGTACTGTAGCAAAATAATTAGATTATACAAAAACCCTTAGCTCTTTCTTTTAGGGACTGATTTCTTAGAGAGATTTTTCTAAATGTAGGTTTGGTTTTTGGGGAAAATTGTCGGTTTTCTTAACCAAAGTATTACATTGCCTGTTTTTTGTTGAAATGGTAACAACACCAATGAGGTGAACTGGTCATCAATGGTAGTAGTTAAATTCCTGCATTGCAAATAGTTTGGAAAGGTTAAATTACAGCGACCACTCCTAAGGTTTGAAAAAAATACAATAAATTCTACAAATTTTGCATAATTACACTAATCTCTCTTTTAGTAAGGTTAAAGCAAATATAATTAATGCATATGGTGTGTAAACACAGAAAAAAAAAATTAATGATAAAATATTCATTTCAATGTAAAAGATATGATAATATCATTTTTTTTTTATGCACACAACTTACAAATAAATTACTAATGAAAGAGAGTTAAAGTATTATATGAATTAAAATCATAAGGGAGCCGAGTTTAATTATGCCAAGTTCGGGGGGTTTGGTTTTTTTTTTCAGACCTCAAGGGAGGCCGGTGTAATTTACATTATAAGCAGGGCAAGGGTGTGAAGATCGTATAAAAACCCAATTCCTTGACCGGTTGAATGTGAAACAGAAAATCCTCTTTTTGTTGACAATTGAATGGAGCATCATGTTGGCTGTAAATACATATACATATAGTAAATGTGATATAAAAATGGTCTCTCCACTCTACGGACAACCTCTCTACCAATTCTCTCCCCACAGCTTTTCTTCTCTCTCTTAGAACTACTACTACTAGCCCATAGTGTTATCGAATTCTAATATTATCGAACAATGACAATCACCCTCTTCACTGTGAAGGTGATGGGATCGGTGTCTGGGTTGCAAGCTTTCTTGTTGTCAGACTGATTTTGTGATGAAATCATCATTCGCATAGATCAAAAGTAAATTGTGTAATGATAGACTGCAATAGTGACTAGCAAAAGGTCACGAACAAGACTTTCTTATTTTTTCAAATCTAATAACCAAAATGAAAGGTGTGCATATAGTATGCACTTCTTTTAAAATAAATAAATAAGAATAATACTCCTTCCATTGAAAAATTTAACTTTTTTAATAGAACAATTATTACACTTTTAATACTATTAATTTTTTTAAATTACTTTTTGATAGTAAATTTTTAAAAAATATCAATTGTCATAAATGTACTTTTTGTGTTAAGAGACTAATATTTTAAGAGGGAGAGAGTAATAATAATTATATGGTACAATTTCCCTTAAATGTGAGCTTCAAAGGTAAACAATGCACACCATAACACATTTTCCCGCTTAGAGAGAGAGAGAGAGAGAACAAAAGTCAGAAAAATCCTCAGAAACACTTCCTCAGGAATTTTCCTTTCCTTTTTTATGTTACAATAACAAAGTAAGAGTACACAAAGCAAGGTCTATGATACCCCACAATTTCCATACCACAAACCCTAATCAAAGTATACTATTACCACCCGCTACTAAATGATACGAAATACAATCCTTTTTTAACTTTCACTAAAGACACTTCCAAAATTGTGTGACATTTTATGCCTGCAACTCCAACAAGTAAAAATTGTAAAAAGTGACCAACGGCCAACTCTCCAACCATTTTAAAAACAAAGAAAAAGAAAAGAAAATTTCCCATTTAACCCACATAATCATGGGGATTGCCAAGAAACCAATTTACCTCTGACATTTAGTGTTTTTACATCCTTCGGCTTTTGTGTTTGACTTTCACAATTTTCCGTTTAGACTTATCACCGCCACCACCAGAACCCAATGAGAAGCTACTACCTCCAGCACTGAAATCTAGACTACCCAAAGCCTGAAACGGAGATGGGTTTTGTGGGTTGCTTTGATTCTGTTGTCCACCAAAAGGAAATGGGCCAGCTGATGGCAGAGCATTTGAATCAAAAACAAAACCAGATGGAGTTGAGATGGGTTGTTGACCAAATACCGGAACTGGAACTGTTGGTGTGGACAACTGTATGGGGTTGTCCTCAGCCATGCTATCCTCCATGCTCATCTGATCACCGTTACCTGAGACACTGGCGAATACAGGAACAGAGGTACCAAACACGGACTGTGCTTGGGAAGGAGAGGCAGTGGCAGTGGCAGTAGCAGTATTTGAAGTGAATGAGAAAAGGGAACCGGATGAGGCACCAGCAGTAGAGGACCCAAACACCATAGGTGCAGTGTTGGTAGGAGCAGCAGAAACCGAGGATGCACCAAAGGAGAACCCAGTTGATTGGGATCCGGTGTTAAATGTGGAACCGAAGATGGAAGACTTTGGGGGCTGCCAACTGGATGCAAACAAGCTCGAAGTGGCACCACCGGCGCCAACAGAGTTGGTCTCAGTTGAGGGAGCTGAAGAACTCACACCAAAACTAGTGCTTGAACCAAACACTTTTGAGGGAGTTGAAGAACCAAACAGAGAACCGCTGGAGGTTGAAGAACCAAATACAGAACTGCCCGATGTGAAAGATGTAATCCCGGAAGTCCCAAAGCTTGGAGACGAGCTAGATGAACCAAACTGAATATGCATGCTCTGTGTAACAGCTGCAACCCCAGTTTCAGCAGGAGACATTTGTGTGCTGACTGTAGATCCGCTACTGGTTCCGAAAAGAGAACCCTGAGAGAAATTATTGGCAGATACACTGGATCCAAAAATGCTACTTCCTGTGCTTGCCATAGAAAACGATGTGCCCCCAAAAGGTGAGCTGGTTGGAGCACCAAATGTTGTTTCCTTCTCAGTTTTGGCCTTCAAATCTGTAGTTTCTGCATTAGATGTGGTTGAAGCAGTTGGAACTGAATTTGAAGGAGCTACAAATGTGGACCCAAATTTGAAAATGGGGGTTCCTGGAAATGATGGTGCTGCAGCAGAGGTGGACGGACTGCTATTGGAGGCAGTGACCATGGTGGTGTCATTGGAACTCATGGTAGCAGTAATTGAAGAGGCAACATTGGTAAAGCTATTTGTGAAAGTTTGATTTGTAAAATTACTGGAAGCTACAGCTGGAGAAGGGGAAGAAAATATAGAAGGGCTTGATTCAAGTGAACCATTAGTTAGACTTGAACTGTTGGCAGGACTACCGAAGGAGAACATGCTGCCGGTTGAAGTTGACAGAGCAGAAGAAATAGAAGCTTCTGATTTTCCCATTGTATCTCCATACTTTCGCATTTTGTTATTATCAACTTTATCTGAGTCCTGAGTTTTTGGTACGACTTCAGTTGTACCAAAAGCAACATTGGCCAAGCTGCATACACAAAAACACATTTCAGAAAAAAGACCCTCATCAATTTCAATTAAAAATGAAAAGACAAAAGAAAACAAGACTAGCAAAGTTTGATTAACAAATCTATTTCTTTCTATCCCCTTCATAATTGTTTATTGATTGATTGACTTGGGTGACAGTAATCATACTCGGAAGAAATCATTTGATGCCAAGTAATACTGGTAATTTTATTTCACCTTCAAATGAAACTGCATTCTTGTAGCCCTAAAATGATTCAATGATTGACCTTCAAAGGGGGGCTGTGTGATGCTTTGTATCGTTTACCCTTTTGTAGGGGCATGTGAGACCTTTAGATGGGTGTTTGCCAGACGTTCAGGCAAGACATCCCCTTGATGTTTTTTTATACGTCTAAAAAAGGAAGAGGTAAACAAAAAAAAAGGAGAGGAACTAGGTCGGTCTTTCTCAAAAGGTCAGTTACAATATAGTCCTCCACTGCCCACTTGAAATTGCTCTTGTTAAACAAAATTTCTCCTTTTGCTAACCACCAATCTTTTCAATGCGCAGTCTACTAGAATTAAAGAAAAGGTAACACAAAATAAATGGTCCCTTTCATCTCATGTAGTGTGTTTGGAAGGAGCAGAATAATGCAACAATGAATGAATAGAGTTCCACCTCAATGATTGAGATTTATTATTATAATCTTGTTTTAGCATAATTATACTCCAGTTTAAAATTCCAGCCATCTTGACTGCATAGTTTTTAAGCATCCTAAGACCATGTTTGTTTGGATGGACTGGATAGGGGGGGATTGTAATCCATCGGACTGTTAGTCCTACAATAAATTGTCCCCGGACCATTTGATTAGACTGGATTTGTATCCTATATTTGTTAGTCATGGGATTAAATGTCTGGATTAAACTATTTTTAATGAATCCAATGTTTGGTTGGACGGATTGGATAAGGATAAATGTTCAAAAGACTATTTTACTTGTCTCCGCAACATGTCAAACACGCGACCAGGAGTACCAACAACAACATGAACCCCACTGGAGAGAATGCGCTGATCTTCGCGCACACTAGTCCCTCCAACACAAGCATGAACCTTCACACTTTGCTGGGCAAGTTCACGAGTGGGTGGAAGAACCAAAGCTTGGCACTTAACCAAGCTATAATCTAGCTGCTGCAGAATTCCAGAGCAGAATGTTGCAGTGTTTCCAGTTCCAGACTGTCTCGTCATATGAGGTGAAGAATTCTTCTCCATCAGCCTCACACATGACTACAGTTGCACAAATCTTTGTTGATTTTATCAGCGGAATAGGTTGAGGTCCGGCGGACGGCTAAGGTGAGGTTGCCGCCCGCCGGGGAAGCGAAAATACTAGGTTTTAAACCAGCTCTGATACCATGTAAGAAATAATGTATAGAGAAAGAGAAAGAATAAATTGTATGTATTATTATTGATTGATATATTGATTACAAGATTGTTGTGTTGATTGATGTATTGTATTACAAATCAGAGTGGCATTATATAGGAGAGGGTTTGGGTAGTAGGTGAGGAGTAGTGGAGTGTAGTAGGTGAGTGTGAATGGTAAATTCTAACAGGTCCCATTAATATGGGGGGCAGAGGCAGTGTTATTAAAAGCGATAAGCGCACCAAGGCGCCAAGGTCTCATGAGGCTTTAGGCTTTAGGCTTTAGGCGAGGCACGGGCTTCATCGAAGTAAAGTGCATCATGGCAGGATGAAATAATATAATTTAAGATGAAGTATATAAGCAAATAACTAACTGATGTTCATATTTGCATGCAGGGTCTTTTCTTGTACCCATCTAAATCATAAAACTAGAGAAGAAACGGGGCAATTCAGAATAAATATTTAATAAACAAAGCAGTCCAGAGAAGAAAATAAACGGAAAGCAGAAAAAAAAAAAGCAGAAAACAAAAGCAAAGAGAACAAAATAAATGAAAATAAGAAGAAAACCACCAAAAAAAAAAAGAGCCCTCAAGGCCTGCGCCTTGGGCATAACTGCGCCTTGTTCGAGTCGTGTGCTTTAATCGCGCCTTAGTGAAGTCGCCTCGCCTTGACCATTGCAAGGCACAGGAGGTGCGCATGGCTGGGACTGGCAGAGGTATTAAATAAAATAAAAAGCACAAAAGAATAAGATAGCTACAATTTCAACACCAACAAGATACTGACCTGCTTGAACTTTCTGGCTTCGGTTCCAATGGAGAACAAGATATTAGGCCTGAAGACTCACTGACAGAAGATGTGGAAGAAAATGCGTGCGATGGAATCTTAGCAACATTTTTAGAGCTAAAACTAAATAAAGGAGGAGGTGCATTTGGTTCCTTAGGTGGAGCAATCTTATCAAATGCTGATGTAGATTGAGGACTGGCCACAACTGGCTGAAAATTTGTGCCAGAAGCAGGTGAAACAGAGAAGGTAAAGCTAGTGTTTTTCTCACCAACCACAGTTTCATCAGAAGTTCCTAAATCAGTTGATTTTTTCAAAATGGGACCATCAAGTGTTTTGAATTCAGATACTGCAGGAGTTTTGTCCACCGTCACTGCTTCAGAAGAAACAGCCTTGCTCTCCACCACAGAAGTCTCAAATTTTTTCTTCCCCTCAGCCAACGGTGTAGATGCAGCTTCATTAGAAAAAATCTCGTCATCCAGCTCCAGAAAATCCTTCACAAGAGAACCATAAGATTTAATATTGTTGCTTAATAAAAATGAAACATGCAAAGAGATAAGAGCCAAATACACATCTAATTTGAAGATGACAATTTTATCTGTAAGGAATGACAGTCATGCAAACTATATCTACAAATGAGCATCAATAAGGTTTAGGAGGCTAATAATATGGTTGTAGCTCTGATGAGCAGGAGTCATTATTGCCTGCCAGAAAGTAAACATAGCCTTCTGTGAAACCATAAAACCACCTCCTGGTTAAGGCAACTATCAGTGGTAGGACTGTTTCAGAGTTGATAAAGTGACATCATAAGAAAGAATAGATAGCAGGTCAACTGCGAAAAACTAACAGACTAAATGGACCTAAAAAGACACCACCAACCTCGTGTGCACTCATCTGAAAACCCCATTTCTTTTGAGAAGATTGAGTAAACAACTGTGTGCTGACTGAATCTGCAGTTTTGACACTGGGTACAGCTTCTTTCACTGAAACTGTAGCATTGCTGATCACTGCAGGAGTTGATGCGTGACGAGAAACAATAACCCGTTTTGGACCATTTTCCTTAACCTTATCTTGCTTTTGAGAGACAGCATCATGAGCATCAAGCAAAGAAGTGTTGCTCATATTCTTCAACTTATGACTATCATCTGCATTTTGCAGAATGTTTGATGAATCTACATACTCCAGGCTTCTACGAGCCTGTACACTTAGCATATTCGGTGTCAACTTACTGGTTGATCTCTCACCTGCGGCAACCTTGCCTTCTGATGATTTCTCCTTTGGAACCAACTTTTCAAGCTGCTGCAATATTTTTGTAGCCATCTCTGTAGACTTGGAAGGAACAGAGGTATAATTTGTACCAGGCATGCTAGTATCCTCATTTTCTCTCACTGTTCTCAAGAATCTATGATTAGATTCACCCAATGAAGGCAGCTTCTGGGCCGCTGCTATAGGGTATCGAGCAGCATCAAGACCAATTCCAGTTCCACGATTAGAAGGACTTCCAGAAACTGGCAAGCTCAAACATTTTGGAGTCGAAAGATTAGTTTTCTGTCGAAGTCTACGTATGGGACCAACAGATCCTATATCATCTTGTAATACAGAACTCCTACGTTTTAGGGCCTGAAAGAAAGAAGAAAATTAAAATACAGACAGAGAGAAGGAAAAAAAAAACATAAAAGGATAATCCTAAAAAAAAGTAATGGAGTTCATTATCTCCTAGACAAATACCAATTGTTTAGGACCATATTGCCTGGCATGCTCCCATGTAAACTGAGAAGATGATGATGCAGATGGTAAACCATAATCATCATATACGGAACTGGAACCCTGGGAATTGAGCAAGATATAATCAAATTTAAAACCTAGGAACAAAACATTAAACCTAAAAAATGAAAACTCCATATGCAGAAATATATTGGCCATCAAGTAAACCTTTTGGGTAGTAGTTGGATGAACCCTGGAATATGGTGTACGAGCCATATTATATATTGCAGACCTCCCTCGGGATCTTGGAGTCATAAAACCATTTCCAGAAACCGCAACACGAACAACTGGCTTTGGTACAAGTGACATGACAGGTGAATTTGGAGGAAATGGTACATTATTCTGCAGACTTGCATCTTCCCTCAAAGTTTGGCCACGCAAACCTAACATTGATGGTGACACTCTTGAAGGTCTACTGCCCATGTAAGCTTTTGCAAGTTCACGGGAGCCACAACATCCTCTTCAAGGACCTGAAAATAATTTCATTCTATGAATGTGAAATACCATGCTATAGAGCAAACTATTAATTATCATACTCAAAATAAAAGAAGTACCAGGGGGAAAAAACAAACATTCACAAATATGTCAAATACGAATAAGAAAAGGATTAAAGTATGTTAGATTGTTAGTGAACTGACAATAGGAGATGAAATGCATCCATGAAATCTATGGCTCTCCAAGTGGCTCCCTATCCTATTTTCTTGCAGTGAACTACTTGCAAATCCATCTTGTCCTCCAAAGGCAGACACGGGCTGTGGAACAATTGATTCATTCCTTTTGTCCTCATCCCAATTAGGTAAATCAACAGTTCTTGAATGCAGTAGTTCTGTCAAATGATCAATCTCAGATCTGTACCATATAATTCACATCAGTAATACAGCACGAGTCCACACAGGAATGCAGACAATTAAGACCCAAATTGGGGAAGCAATCTTAACAGCCATCCAATTCATATGAAGCAATTCAAATAAGGATCAAGGATGAACAGTTAATTAACTATCAGGACATGATCAATCCAAACAAGATATGAAATGGCCCATAGATGAAGTTTGCTGAGAGCAAATGAGCAATAAGTCACCTACTTCATCATGAAACTAAAAACTTGCCAAGTTTTTACCTCACCCCACCTTAACAGGGGACGAAATAAAGGGAAAAAATTCTGCATGACATAGAATTTGAGTCTTGCGACAACATGAATACATAAAAATCAGTTTATAAATATGTACCAAGTCACAAGGGAATAAATTTATGTTTCACATGGGAATGTCAAAAGTTAAACACCCCACCTTACAGGAACCTGCCAAAACAAACATATATCTAAAAAATGAAGATGCGTTTTACACATGCATGAGCAGCATGAACTTACACATGAGGATACAGACAAGAGTACAAACAAACAAACAAACAAACAAACAAACCCAAATACACATGTCGCAACATCCACACACAGCAAGCACAAGCGCAATTGCCTTCAATAGGAACATTCAAACAACACCAGTATTACCAGAATATGAATACCCTAGTGAATTACATTTTGGAACGCACATTCCAAAACATGGTACACTTCCATTCCAAAACAGTAAATTTAGCAACCCAAACGATCCCAAAAGTTTTTCCGATTTAATTCCTAAATGTTTCCTTAGGAGTAAAAAAAACTCAAATATAATGAACTAAAATCTAAGGTCAATGAAGTTATGACATGTAGAAAAATGGATCACAATGCTCTTAGAAATGTGTTTATACATTATTAATTTGAAGGGGGGGGGGGGGGGGGGGGACTTAAATTTTATTGGATGTCTAGTTGTTTTAAAAAAAAATTACTCTAGAAATACCTTAAATTCTTAGAGAGTAATCTATACAAATCTATCCCTATCATACCACATTTTATGTTGCATCACATTCTCATTCCCATTCCCATTCCAGGTAATGTAGAACAACACAGAAGGTCACATGTGTGCACAGTCATTAAGTAGCTTAATATCTCCCTTTTTTATTATACCATAGCACAGTATGCTTTTTTTTTATATCCCAAACTAATTAACAGTTTTGACCATGTTCAAGGTCTGGTGAATGCATGTCTCCAAACTAAGTACAAACTCACAAGAACACCAAATGCTAAACATCCACGTCACGGAAAACAGCAGAAAAACAATACAAAGCGTGAAGACCAAAAGGTGAGGTTGCATTTCACACACACAACATGGCATGCAAAAAAAGATATGGCGCATGCATGCACACACATTTAGACAAACCACAGATAGGTATTCCAAAAACTAAAAACCAAAAACAAAAGGACAATATACAAATATCCAGCCAAACACATACCTGGTAAAGGTCTTTTTCTTTAATATTTGCTCAAGTTCGGAAAGTCCACTACAGTCAAAGTTACTAGTTGGTTTGCCTCCATCAATAACAACTGGTCCTTGCACTCCAGGGGCATTCTTCAAAGAACATTCGTACAACATATACACATATATCAGCATAAAGGGCTATAGTATGACACCATTTGTAAGATATCTGAATGATTTTTGTATGTTCAATTGTGTTTATAATACAAGAGTACCTCAGTTTATATAACAATCTATCCTAAGATTGAAAAAGGAAAGAAGAATATCTACTCAATCCCTAATATATACAAAATATATATACTACCATACATATAGCCGAATATTTTCATACCCCTCTTCAAACTCTAGGTGTGTTAGCAGAAAACACCGAGAGTTTGCCAAGAAGAAATTGAAACCGAGCAGTGGTGTGAGTCTTAGTAAAGAAGTCCGCAAGTTGTAAAGCCGAAGAGAAAAAAAGGAAGCGAAATAGAGCCAGACTGCAGATGTTGACGAACAAAGTGACAATCAATCTCAATCTGAATAGCACTGCGGTTGTCACAGTCAAGAGAGGTCGAAGAAGACTGCGAGACACCTAAATCAGACAAGAGACAACGAAGTCAAATAATCTCAGCAATAGCATGAGCCATTGCACGATACTCAACTTCGGCAATAGAGCGAGTAACAACAGATTGTTTCTTGTTTTTCCAAGAAATCAAAGAATCTCCAAGAAACATACAGAAATCATACGTCGACTTGCAATCAATCACATCACCAACCCAATCAAAATCAGCATAGGCCACCAAGTCCAAAGAGAAAGTGGAGGACAATAGTAAACCCTGAAATATTGTACTCCGGAGATAGCGAAGAATCCAAACAAAAGCAGCCCCATGTGCAGAACGAGGAGCAAAAATGAACTGACTAACCACATGAACAGCATAAGCAAGATCAGGGCGAGTAATCGTCAGATAGACTAAGCAACCCACAAACTCTCGATAAAAGTAGGGTTTGGCAGAGGAACACCATCAGTAATGTTAAGTTTCACATTAAGCTCAATGAGGGTATCAGCAATCGTAGTGTCAGTAAGACCAACACGGTGAATAACTTCATTAGCATAGTTGGCCTAAGACAAAAAGTAACCCTTGGGAGAATAAGCCACCTTAATACCAAGAAAGTACCGCAATGAGCCTAAATCCTTCATTTTAAAAGTACGGAAGAGATGCTGCTTGACCTCAGAGATAGCAGAAGAATCAGAATCAGTAATAATCATATCATCCACATAAAGTAATAAGGCAACAAAACCAACAGAGGTGCGAAGGAGAAACAAAATAGTGCCCTAAGTTGAAGGATGAAACCCAAGCTCAGTGACATGACGACAATTTAAAAGCAATCATACCAAGCACGAAGAGATTGCTTCAGACCATACAAAGTATGCCGAAGACGACAAACCTGTCCAAAAGAATAATGAAGGCCAGGGAGACGACTGTAAACCTCCTCAATGAGATAACCATTAAGAAAAGCATTCTTAACATCCATCTGATAAAGAGGCCAATGACAAACAGCAACGACAGATATCAAAGTATGAATAGTAGTCATCTTAACAATAGGGGCAAAAGTCTCCTCATAATCAATATCATACTCTTGTGAAAAACCCTTGGCAACCAGGCGAGCCTTGTAGCGCTCAAGAAAACCATCAGAATGAGTCTTGACTTCGTAGATCCATTTGCAACCAACCAGATTCTTACTAGCCGGCAAAGGAACCAACTCCAAAGTACTTGTTTTCTACAAAGTAGACAACTCATCCTCCATAGCTTGAATCTAATGAGGATCCTGATAGGCCTTCTTGTGAGACTGAGGTTCTGAAAAAGAGTGAATAGCAGACAAAAATGTACAGTATGAAGGAAAAAAAAACGTGTTTTAGCAAAATCAAGTTTGACTACCTGTTTACGGATGCGAAGGGAATACTTACGGTTAACAAGATCAGAGTCGTCGGAAACAAGAGGATTAACTGGTGGAGGGAGGGCCATGCGACAATAATAGACTAACACCAAAGGAGGAGAAGGAGAAGGAGAAAGAGGAGTAAGAGTAGGAGTAGGAGTAGGAGTAGGAGTAGGAACAGGAGCAGGCAGGAAAGGAAGAGGAGAGGAGGGAACAGACTCATGGAGGTCAATGGAGAGGGACTCATTAAGAGGGGTGGTACAAGGAGAAGAGGGAATAAGCTCATAGGAAATAGCAGAGATGTAATCATTAGGAGAAACCTTAAAAGAAAATGGATCAATATGAATCAAATCCTTTTTGAAAACTAGGGTTGTGAAAGAAGAAAACTGAAAGTAAGGTAGACATTCGAGAAAGGCAACATGGCGGGAGACATAAAGGCAACGGGAAATAGAGTCATAACAGCGATAATCTTTCTGAGTGAGATTGTAACCCAAAAAGACACGTAGGACAAATCAAGCACTAAGTTTGGTCCTATCTTTACAAGGTAAAAGGACTAAACAAGCAAACCCAAACACATAAAGGAGGGAGTAATTAGGAAGTTGAAAAAACAGAACCTCATAAGGAGACCATCCACAAAGAAAGGGGATAGACATACTGTTGAAAAGAAAAGCAGCGGAAAGAACTGCCTCATCTCAAAATAGAGCCGGAACAGAGACAAAGAAAAGAAGAGACCTAGTTGTCTCAAGAAGATGACAGTGTTTACGCTCAGCTTGACCATTTTGGGCAGGTATATCAGTACAGGAAGTTCGGTGATTGGTAACCAAATTGGCCAAATATTCATAAAATTCAGTTTTAAAGTATTCTCTGTCCAAGTCAGACCGCAACAATTTAATTGTAGACCCAAACTGTGTAGTGACCATAGACTAAAAAATACGATATATCTGGTTAAAGTCAGACTTATGAACCATAAGATAAACCCAAGTATAACAGGTGCAGTCATCAATAAATGAAACATAGTATGCAGAACCTCCTTTAGTAAGAACAAGAGGACACCCCCGACATTAGTATGAACTAAAAAAAACGGTGTATCAGATATAGAGTTACTTCTACGGAAAGGTAAGGCTATCATTTTGACAAGTTTACACCCCCAACACTCAGTTAGTTGACTAAGAAAAATTTTACCCAATATACCGACTGAGCTAAAGGCCGTAAGCGGTTAGCAGACAAACGCCCTAATCTAGAATGTCATAAATAGAAAGGACTTGACAAAGAATCTAAATAAAAAGAGAAAAAAGTTGTCGGAGAAGTAGTCATAGGCAGATGTAGGCTCTCCATCACATAGAGGTCTCCAACTCTACAACCAGTCCCAATCTGCTGCTTGGACATCTGATCCTGCACAGAACAGATAGAAGAAGAAAAGATAGCATCAAAACCAGAAGCATCAAGCTGACTGATGGATAATAAACTGACAGATAATTGAGGAACATAAAGAACAGATGGAATAGAAATAGCAGACATAGCAGACGATAAGACAAACCCAACAGATATACCAGATTCATTAGCAGCATTAACAGTAATAGGAAAGGGAGGGGAGAGTACAATTTTGAAGTAAGGAGAGATGGAGAGTCATATGATGAGAGATACTAGAGTAAAAAATTCAGACAGACGAAGAGATACTTGAAGAAGACCCAAGCAAACCTGAATGAAGAGAAAAAACAATGGAGGCAGACGGGGATGGCTGGGAGGTAGACAATGTATGCTAAAGGTAACTAATCTAAGTACTCAAGGAAGCCAAGTTAGGATCAGGAGTCGAAGCAGATGCAGTAGAACCGGCGAGAGGCCAAACGGTACTCAAAGGAGGGGCGCAGAGCCGGATCAGATATGGCTGAGAAGACGAGGCAGATACAGGTGAAGCACACTAACATCCCTTTTTAAGACAATGATACTTCCAATGGCTTTTCTGATGGCAAAAAGCACACTCATCTGAAGCCAATGGCCTATTTTTAGGCCTAGTAATCTTGCATTTGACATTGGTATGAACCAGAGACAAAGAAGATGACTGATGGGGCAAAGTATAATACCTAGAAAACTTTGAGAGTTTTTGTGTAATAAACTAGAAATAGGATGTTAAGGGGTTGTTTGGGATGTCCTAAATAAGTGCACTTTTTGAATTTTTGGACTAAAAAGTTGAGGAAAAAAATATGATTGTTTGGGTTAACTTTTTGACTTTTTATGAAAAAATGTGTATTAAAAAATTGTATAAATTAGTGTGTAGGGGAAAATTAGAATTGGGAGTTACGCAGCCGTACTTTTTGACTTTTGGTGAATAGTGATAACTTTTTAACTTTTTGGCTTTTTGGCTTTTTGGGCACATGCCAAACTTGGACTAAATGTAATACCTAAGCAAAGTTTGAGAACAGTACTGAGAACCACCGAACAAATCGAGAACCAAAGACAAAAGGAGACTGAAGTTGAGAGAGACGGGACCAGAATCCGAAGTCGAAGTCGAAGTCGAAATCAAAATCAAAATCGAGCAAACCAAAGCCTGACACCTCTTCGATCATGGAAGTCTAGGTAAAGAGGGAGATGGTCCTCGCAAACTGAAGCAAAAGAGAGAACCAAAGAGGTCAATTGCGACGAAGGCGAAATCAAAACTCAGATGAGTCGAAGCCCTAAGGAATTGAGAGGATGATGACTAGATGTTTCATAACTATGACTGATCACAAACCAGAAAACCAGAGGGCATGAAGCAGAGGCAGAATCGAACTCAGATGAATCACGAAGCAAAGGCAGTCAGTCGTGAATGGTTCGCAAGGTAGAGGCAGAGTGTCGCGAACAAGAGGAAACCACGAACGCAGCATGTAGTCAAACCAAACAAACACAAACGAAGAAGTTGTTGATTTCTAGGGTTTTGGCTCAGAAACGACTCTGATATCATGTAAGATTTCTGAATGATTTTTGAATATATTCAATTGTGTTTATAATACAAGAGTACCTCAGTTTATATAACAATATATCCTAAGACTGAAAAAGGAAAGAAGAATATCTACTCAATCCCAAATATATACAAAATATATAACCTACCATATATACATAAAGCCGAATATTCTCACACCATTATCACAAAACAAGACCACAGGTACTCGAGGGAAAAACAAGACCACAGGCGTTGGAGGGGTAAGACGGCGCAATAAGAATAACTAAAAACAAGACTCGCATATATATATATAGAGAGAGAGAGAGAGAGTGAGTGAGTGGGATGCCAAATGACAAAAGGATATAAGTTTACACAAAACAAAGTTCTATATTTTATAAAAATGAAGAATATCTTCAATAAAGTCCATATAAACAACACCACACTTGTATACAAATGATTGCTTACACACTAGCACCGTAAGATAAACATTCAGACTTACCTCGAGAATTGCCTCCTGAAACCTATCCCTTGATTCCTGGTTTGCTTCTGATCACATCACATAATATATGAGATATAATCAGAAACATAAAAATAATACTTAAAACTACACAAGAGCAGTTAAAAATCCCAGCAAACCATCAAAGTAGTAAGATCTTAAATTATAATCTATTTTACATGGATTCTTCAAAATAAATCAAATCCCCATGTTGAAACCCGGACAAGGGCATGGGATATGTGTCCAGGGTGTATAATATGTGTCCAATACTTTCCGATGGCTACTTCTTATATATTTGTATTTAACACTATCATTATATGGATATATTGATGTACAATTGTTGTAAAATGCATTTTTTGAGATTGCATGTTATATGTAATACCATTTTATTTCACAAAGTAGGACAAAAAAATAAAAATGACATTTATTTTTTTTACATAATCCACATATCCTTAAATTTCAGATTTTATGGATCCGGCCTCTAGACCCATACATGTATCCAAGTTCATTTAATATAGGTTATCACAATAAAGTGCATTGGGATTATAACAATAGATAGTGGAATGGAAACTATGTTGCATGGACTCAGGTATATGCCTAAGCGTCAGATTCTTCTTCCAATACTAAAAAACATTGATACCCTAGCAAATTACATTTTGGAATGTACATTTCAAACCATGGTACATTCTGTTCTAAACGGTCAATTTGGCGATCCAAAGCGATCCCAAAAGTTTGTTTCAATATATTTCCTAAAGGTTTCCTTAGAAGTAAAACAAATATAATGAACTAAAATCTAAGATGAGGGAAATTTTGACATGATAAAACATAAAAAAAATGAGACATAATGTTCATAAAAATGTGTTTTTATATGATTAATTAGAAGGGGGGAAAACACACACACACACGCCCCCTTACATTTTATTGGATGCCCAAACCAAACCAAACCAAGCCTTAAGTCCCATCAAATGTGGTCAGCTACATGAATCCTTCTTCTCCACGCAGCCCTATCAAAGACCATTTCGTTAGTCAAATTAAGTAAATCTATATCTCTATTTACAACGTTAGCCAACATTAATCTAGGCTTACCCTGTCCCCTAACACTCCCCTCTACCGTTACAGCATCGCATCTTTTCACTACTGCCTCTGTTGGTCTCCGTTGAATGTAAGTAGACTATCTCAATTGATTCTCTCTCAACTTATCTTCTATCGGTGCTACTCTTACCCATTCCTGAATACACTCATTCCTAATTCTGTCTTGTCTAGTCTTGCCACACATCCACCTTAGCATTCTCATCTCAACCACACTCATTTTATCTACATATTGTTTCTTGGTTGCCTAACACTCCGTCCCATACAACATCACTGGTCTAATAGCCATTCTATAGAACTTACCTTTTAGTCTAGTGGGTATTCGTTTATCACACAGTACCCCAGACGCATTTCTCCACTTACACCATCCCGCCTTAATCCTATGGGCCACATCCGCATCAATCTCCTCCGTTGTTGTGATAATCGACACTAAATAACGAAAATGTTCACTCTTAGGCAATTCTTGGTTCTCAATCTTCACTTCTCCTCTGCTTTCATTGTTATTGTTACTAAATTTACACTCTATGTACTCTGTCTTATTTCTGCTTATCAAGAAACCTTTAGATTCAAGCGCTTCTCTCCAAATCTCCAACTTTGTATTAACTCTTTCTCTAGTCTCATCTACTAGCACGATATCGTTTGCAAAAAACATATACCATGGCACGTCATCCTGAATATTTCTCGTCAACTCATCCATAACTAAAGCAAAAAGATAAGGGTTTAAGGTAGCTCCTTGGTGTAACCCAACAGTGATAGGAAATTCATTTGTCTCTCCAGTAGACGATCTAATAGTGGTCACCACCCCTTCATACATGTCCCTAATCACATCAATGTAACCTTTTGTCACCATTTTCTTCTTTAACACCCACCATATTATATCTCAGGGCACTCTATCATATGTTTTCTCAAGGTCAATAAACACCATATAAATATCTCTCTTTTTTTCTCTATACTTTTCTATTACTCTTCTCAAAAGATAAATCGCTTCCATTGTTGACCTGCCGGGCATAAACCCAAATTGATTCTCCAGATTAAAAACACCTTAAATTCTGACAGTGTAAATTATACAAGCTTATCCCTATCGTACCACAATTTAGAGCATGTGGCGTATCTCGTTCCCATTCCACATATAGAAATGATCCGCATTCCAAGTAACATAGGTCCAACAAAACCATAACACAGCTAGATAATTGTATTTCTTAATATTCATCTTTTACAGTAAAATAGTGTTTTGCAAAGTAAATAGGGCATTTTATGCATATTGCAAAATATGGGAGTTTTGTGGAAACCTCTCAATCATTCAAACTTCACAAGCCTAATAAATTGAACCAAATAATACACCCAAAACCCTACATTTCAAAATCCAATGAAGTGACTTCCATGTTGGGTGTTGTGGATCCTGATAAATATTGTACATCAAGCCCTAGGTCCAACAGGAGGCTTGTATTGTAGAAAGTTGTAACTTGTAATCATTTTTTAATCATAGTGAAAATAGCAGCCGTAGACGAAACCTATTCTAAGGTGAGCTACATAAATCCTTGTGTTATTGTGTGCATGTGATTTCTTCGATTCGTTTATCTTTTTTGTTTGTTATTTTGTGTTTAACGATCCTGATTAAGAAGAGTCGATTTACTAACATTCCATAAACTAGACTTGTTAAGAAAAGGGGGCATCCTACGTAGGGGTGAGCATGGTTCAGATTGGGAGAAAATCAGGATCAATCCGTTATCTACGGTTCCTGAAAAATTAGAACCAATCTAATCCGTTCAAATCGTGGAACCAATCTGAACCAATCCGTTTAAACACAAATTGGATTAGTTTAGGACCACGGATTCACATAATTAAATAACAAAAAAAATATATATAGAACATTTAAAGCAAACAACATTCTTTGTGTAGGTCTATTTGTGTGTTACTGTTAAGTAATAACTGAACCGCCATTCTGATGCTAGGAATTGATAAGATTATGCATAATTCTTTGGTGATGTATTTGTTTTCTACCAAATTAGCTAATATTGCTGATAAATCAGTTTGCTGCCGAATGAGCTAGATGGCTCATCAATAGATGATTTTAGTGTGATGAATGCTTTTGTCAATATAAAATACATATATACATAGTATATGGTTAACTTATTTCAATATATTTATATTTATTTTTCTCAAGTTACTTCAGGAATGAATCCAACTTTCAATCTCTATGGATGCACCTTAATTGGTAACATGCAGACTAAGTCTTCTACCTTTTGTCTTACTTCCTTAACACAATGAATAACATTATACCAGAAATCAAAAAAAAAAAAGATACACTGTATATGGTATAAATATAGATTATTTCTAGATGGTCCGGATCGATTCCAATCCAGAACTGTGGAGTTTAATCTGGAACCAATCCGTAGCCTATGGATTTTGAAATTTCAAATCTGAAAGCGAACCACGGATTCAAAAAACCAATCCAAACCTATCGGATTGGACTGAACCGAATCGGATTACGAATTTTACGGATTCCTTACACAACCCTAATCCTACAGTTGGTGATAAAGTAGCCATTAACATGTAGCAAACATAGTCAGTTGAACTCCTACCTTCTCATTTTTCATAGGGGAAAAATAAGCTCCTACAGGATTTTTAGTGCCATCAAGGACATCAACAATTTCAACATTATAGAATGAATATCCATTGCATAATACAGTTCAACATAAAAGGAGCCATAAAAACACTAGAAACACCTGCTCTGACTGAAAGGGTTGTATAAACCCAAATTTCTCATCACAGCAACAGAAAATTGGAAACATATATACCGAAAAAAAAAGAAAGTGATGCTGCCTTGTAAAAAGTTAAAAATAACAGGCCAAAACTAAAATAGAACTTGATTGAACCACTGACCTGAAAGAAAGCAAAATAGTCGTGTTCTCAAAATATAATTTCCAAACTAAACAAACCACAAAAACATTCAATAAAGAACCCTAATTTGTCAATCCAATCCCAAGCAACACCCAAATTGAACAAACCAATTTTACTGGTAAAAGAAATATATAGGAAACGACATCAAAAGAAAAAAGAAATATTTTTGACTCAATAAACTTCCGAATTGATCTATATAGTCGCACATTATCAGTATGTATACTGAATCAAGCAAACACCTTTTTCCCATTGCTTCAAGAGACAATTACCCAATCAAAGAAACCCTAAAAAACCTTAAAATCAAAATACCACCACCGACACAGAAAACCCTAAATCCTCAACCACCCTCAACAATAGCCCCAATTCAAACAAGTTACAACAAAAAAAAATAAAAAATAAATAAAAGCGTTCACTACCTCTAACTACCTACTTGATCTACAGCACCGAAACAATCTCTTTGCACTTATTTACAATAAAATACAGTTCCCCAATCAAATAATATATATATATATATATTGTGGAAAACGTATCCAAAAGCGTGAATTTCAAAAACAACAAAAACAAAGACAATATATACATATGAATGGAATGAACCTGGTGGTTGTGGTGGTGGTGGCGGCGGAGGGGGGAGGCGGTTGCGGAGGACGGAGGAGAAGAAGAGATGAGCGCTCGCGGAGATGAGTTTAGAGGCGGGATCGACGAGCTTCGAGAGCCAGCCGTTGGTACTGGGGTTTCGGAGAGCGGTCTGAGGCCGATCGTACGGCGTCGTCTGGGGCCTCCGAAATGGCCTTTTCCGGAACTTCCCGCCCCCTCCTCCGCCGCCGCTGCTGCCGCCGCCGTAAGAGGTTCCTTCGCCCGCCTTTGTCGCCATGGAAGAAAGCTTCAGAGACCTCGCAACGAAAATTGTAGAGAGAGAAAATGAACGGTAGAGAGAGAGTGTGCGCAAAAATAGGGTTTTTATGTGGAGAGAGAGAGAGATTAAAAAAAAAATTGTGAAATAGGGTTTTTAAAGTAATGCTAGGTACTCCAAATACTCTATCTAGACATTTGGTAAAATTTTTGGTAGAATTTTTGAGGCCTCTAGCATTTTTAGATTTTTATGTGTAGAGAGAGAGATTAAAAAAAAATTGAAAAATAAAATATCCGAGAGGGGGTGTAATTTTGGCCCGCGGGCGGCTCGAAGCCCGCTCGCCGTTTGAGGTGGGCCCGGTCTGTTTAGACTCGTTTAGGTCCGAGCCCAAGTCTAGCTCGAGGCCTTGGATTAGGGCCTGAGCCATCGTTTTGAAGCCTGACCCATTGGCCCGCTCAAGGGCCGCCCAAAAGCCCGGTCCGCCCGATGTCCAGTGTTATTTTTAATGAAAAATAATAAAATTTTAGTGAAAAAAACAAAAAAATTAAAAAAAATTATTTAGGCCCACCCAAAGCCCGAATACCCCTAGGCCTGGGCCTGGGCTTGGGTCTAGGCCTATTTTTCTAGCCCATGGGCCGGCTCGGCCTAGCCCAATTTTTTGTCAGGAACTCGCAAGGCCCAACATAGGCCGGGCCGAGCCGGGCCAAAATTACACCCCTAGGGAGAGATTTGAACTTTTTTTGCAGTTATTTTTGGAGCGTTGCTAATCGTATGATAAATGCCTTCATTAAAGTGTTACAGGCAACGCGAACCGTTCGACACACACAATGTTTACAAACCGATAGAACTTGTTGAACTGGACTTTGTTTTGATTCGAGAATTTTTTAAATTCAGACTAGGATAAAAATTGAGAACCGGTTGAATCGGCAAAATCGACAACCTAGACTGGATTGTTGTGAATTGATCGAATTTGTTGAACATATATCTAGCACTGAAAAAATCCCAAATCTCAGGGCTACAATAGAAGGGTTTTCTTTGACTGCATGCTCATTAGTGTGATTTAAGATTTGAAATTATTGATCTTATCTCTATGCTTGCTTGGTTTATTTTTGTGTTTGAGATTTGACTATTGATTGATGCAGTAAACTATTATTTGACAAATATGTAATATTAATTGTTTTTAATATACTCCTTTTAGGTATATTTACCAATAAATCCCATCCAACAAACGATTGTACCATTTGGTCCCAACATTGTGTTTGTTGTTCTGATTGGTCCTATTAGTGGGAGAATATATTCTTGTTCATCATATTTTCCTTGTTTGGTAATGTTTACTGGTCATTTATACCCTTTGTTTTCTTGCGGCTCGTTTTTAGTGGGTTTGGTTGTGCATATGGAAGTACAATATGTTTCCTTCATTATGTTAGGGTTTTTTTTGGCTAGTGTGACGGTGTGCTATGGTGATTGGTGTGTTTTTGGACAAAAGGTGGTTCAAAATTCCGCCGGCAGTAGTTCTGCTGTTGTGGATGTATTGTTTGTTTCGATTGTTTTTGTGTGCCATACAATGTTCATATTAAAATCGTTGTTCCCCATTTGTATGGGGTTGGGCACATTTATATTCAATATGTTACGGTTTCCGACCGTATAAGTCGTTGTCGTGATGACACATTGGTGTCGTTCATTGCTGTTTTGGTTGTTCTACTTTATGTACCTGTGTAACTTTATACGATTTTTCCCCTCAATATGTTTGCAACACAGTGGCGAGTATTTTGTGTATGTGATACACATTGATGGGTTTTGCGTAAGGTACGGGGGTTAAAGGGGGTGTTGACACATATTTGTATGCTGCAGTGTGTTGCGTTGCACTTATGGTAATCTAAAAATCTAAAACTATTTGTTAACGTTGGTTTGCATATTGTAGGGACAGACGCTCATGTTATGTTGGTGTGTTGTTACTGCGATACGAACGCCGCCATCAAGTTGCAATTTCTATTTTGATTCGATGATTTGGTTAGTTGTATCCATCAAAATGTGATTGTCTCACACATGCTGATCTGTGTTTATTTATCAAGATTCCGGGATATAACTGTCACGACCCAAACCCGCCCCTATGGGTTTAGCACCGTAACCGGCCAGTAATCCATGATTGCCAAAGGCCTACTTAACAGTAAAGACAGTAATACAGAGTAAGGGGCTGGCGGAAGCCAAAACAGTAAATAAAAGGTGTCCAATGAGCTGTGACATTCTGAATGCAAAAAGACTTTCCTGAACATATTCACATTCAAAACCAAAACAATATATACATACATCATATACAGACATTCAGGTTAGGGACCAAATCCCTAACATAACAGTACAGTGCAAGTCTCAACATTTATTATAAAACAGAGGCAAAAGGGGAAATCTAAAACACCCCAAACTAGCCTTGGCATTGACGCACTCGAAACCTCAAAGTGAGGCACAATGGTTGGCTTTAGCAAAACGGGAGCTTAGCCTAACGCTCCTAGCATCGGTCCGGTGCCTGGACACCTACATATATATATAAACAATGAGCTAAAGCCCAATGAATAACAGTTATGTAAAGAGGTTAAGAATGAATGTCCTTTCAATAATTAAACAGTCATATCAGTCATTTAGAAACCATAGCAGTCATATGTGGTACATCCCATAGCAAAACAGTACAGTAGGTCTTAACAGACCGAACAGTCAGTTGATGACCATCATAACAGTAACAGTAGCGGTTCCAAACTTGGGAACCGACAGAGATCTCTGTGGCAGTAGCAGTAACAGTACAGTAACAGTAAGTTGCTAAGGATGCCACGAATACAGTTTACAAATAGGACATACATTCATTCATTAAACAATAACGTTTCAGTAAACAGAACAGTTGATCATTCAGAAAATATTCATAATTGAACATATCTTTACAACATTGTTACTCACAGAGCACTGGGCTATAAGCAGCTAATGAGCGTCCTCGGATGCCAACCCTACACAGTTACAGAACGAACACACACTAAGTTACACACTTGAGAATCAACAACTTAGTCCCTATCTTGACTCGGTGTGGTTCTACATCAGTATCCTCATTAAGATGCCTTAAACATGGCCTAGGAATGCCTAGGATGGAAAGAGGATGCAAATGTGCACTTTAAAACACTTTTTAAAATTTTCAGAAAACAGGGGTCTCGCTCGAGCGTGGCTTTCTACGCTCGAGCGAACATGCAGACAAAGGATCTCCACTCAAGCGTGACTTCCTTCGCTCGAGCGGACTGTAAACTTCATGAAAAGTACTAGATGCATGCAATTCACGCTTGACCTCTACTCGAGCATGAGACTCAGGTCCTCGCTCGAGCATGAACTCTCTCGCTCGAGCGGACTGTAAAACACAAGAACTTCTAGGTACATGCATTTCACGCTCGAGCGCAACTTTCCACGCTCGAGCGGAAGTGCACGACTCAAAGGGTACGCTCGAGCGTGAAATCCTACGCTCGAGCATGGGTCCAAAATCTGAAATTTCCAAATTCATCCCCAAGCACAAAACTCAAGCATTTAAGCCTCAAACTCGATCATTTTGGGCTAATTTTCTGGAAAACACTTAAAACCCCATAATACAACATGTTTCAAAGATCAATTTTGTAAAATGAAGCCCAAAGGTAAACCAATTGAACACCAATTTCAAATAAACTCTCATGAACTATGTAAAAACATAACATGCAAGAACTCTTATGAATTAAGTGCTCTAAAACTTGACCAAACGCAAGATTAAGCTCAAGAACATAGTAAATTCATGGACCATAACAAAAACATGGACATGCATGTGGAAATTCATGAAGAACAACCTCAATGTATAGACATGCATGCATGAGTTCACTCTCAAATTCAACTATTTAAACCAATTCTTGAATCTAAACACTAATTTACCATGGACCATGCAAGATACAACTCAAATTCACAAATGAGAGGATGAAATCTCTACCTTAGGTCTTCAATTCAAGGTACACAAGCTCAAATATGCAATCTCTCTTCAAGTCTTCTAATTTTCCAAGCCAATTCTAGGTGAACTCAACTTTTCTTCCAACTCTCTAGCTCTCTCTCACGTTTGGTCTAGGAAGTGGCTAAAGAAATGTTATGTCAAATGTGTATGAAGTGAAGAGGAGTTAGCCTAGAATCACCCACTTAATGGCAAAAATGTAATTAAGTCCAACTAATGTACTTTAACTTAAATAACTCTAATTTAATCATCACAAATCAAATTTAAATTAAAGCTACCATAAAATCACATAAATTATAATTAACATAAAACACCAATCGATTTCAGATTCGGCCACCGATAAGGCCTTCAATTCGCAATTCGCAATTCGAAATTAAAACACGAACAGATCATTTAGTAGTCAAACAGATAGAAATGCATTTACAGACAATACACTCATGCAATCAGTTTAGGATTTCCTCCTAATCAGTTCCTTATCATGATCGGTCACAGTTTAGCAGTAATCAGAAGTGAGGGTTGTCACAATAACAGTTTCAAATTACAAAATGATATCGATATGGAAAACATGGTATCCCTTGCACGGTCTTTCCATTTAAGACATATTGACATCGTCATTCAAACTCCAGTCACGCAAAGTTCAAACGGTATGGTAACGCAAATCGAAAAACATATGATGTTACATTTAGTTCACTGGGGGAAGGAGACGAGTCGGACGACGACGATGAACAAGATGATTTACTCCCCAAATTTTGTCTACATGTTGACAAAGTTTTCATGTCCGCTCCATGGGCTAATGGCATTACACATGTGGGTCAAAGCTTTGAGGCGGCGCTATTGAATTTCGTAATATTCTTCGTAAGTATACGGTTGAATGTGGATTCCGGTTCAAGTATCTGAAGAATGACTCCATCCGGAATACAGCTGTGTGCACGATGAAGGAATCAAAAGGATGCATGTGGTCTATACACGCACGAATCCTGCATGCTGATGAGTTTTTTTACATTCGTAAGTGGAATACAGAGCACAGTTGCGGTGTTGTTCGAACACCAAAAAACCCGAGGGCTAGGTCTGATTTAGTGTCCGATGCTATCTCTGAAGACAAACCGCTAATACGCCCGAT